AGTTACTACGTCCAAAAGTTAATGTAACAATAACGATTTATAAATAAGTAACACAAAATAAAAGTTCAGGGACGTTACTTAAATCAGCTAGTTGTTGCGTGTTGCGTTGAGTTTTGGTCCAAAAAATCCACAATTATAAATGAGTAATAATTCTAATGAGGTGAATATGACTCCAGTAATTTCTTTTGACGTAGGGTGTAATAGAAATGGCACAGCAGTCTAAAATGTGAGTAATATCTAATTTAGAATGTGATCAGCTCGATAACGCGTGAGAATAGAACAAGGAGCGTGTGTGTGTAATAGTGTATTTGCGAACAACCAAAAGTGTGTCACGTTATGTTAGTATCACAACGGAAAATGTCTTCAAGATCATTGACTAAAACAACACGTACAGTCATTTAATGATGAATGTACATACAGTGAAAAATTGACAAATCAGATACAAATAATATTAAAAACTATTTACAAAATAATCTTGTCAGTCATATATCTACAATTTTAGCTAAATGAAAACGAACTTCGACTTTGGATATCTAGAAAACAGCGTAAAACATAACCGATTGTACTAACCAGCTTAGCTGAATAAATACAGTGACTTCAGTAGCAGCAGGTAAAACCCAAAAAACAGAGCAAAATCAGGAAACATTTTGCTCCAACATTTTGCTTCAACATTTTGCTCTAACACTAACTTCTGGATTTTAGCACACTGAAACATGAAATTCTGTAGCTACACAAAAGAAATAGCGGAGAAAACACAGAACGAAGAAAGCCGGCCGACATTTTATAACACAAGACTAGCCAGATTGCCCGAAGAAATACATTGACTTGAGTAGAAGCAGCAAAAACCCAGAAAACATCGCTGATTAGAAATAAACTTCACACCAACATATAGAACATTACACTGACTGCGGCGTTTTAGCACACTGAAACATTAAATCCTCTAGCTACACAAAAGAAATAGCTGAAAGAAGTACAGAACGAAGAAAGCCTACCGTCATTGCTTACAAAGATGGCGGATGTAATAATTCCCGCCTCATTCTGATTGGTTGCTAAGCTGAAGGGCACATTTACGAAATTGAGTTGCCTTTAATTGCAGCCGTAGTAAGGAGAGCACGATTTGTAGGTACAAAAATGCCTCTTTTCGTGGCTATTATTGTTTTAACTGCGCAAATTATGGAGAAGTGAGCGGGCTTTGGGTTAGCGCAATAGTCTGGATTTGCTTGCAGTAGAAGTAAAACCAATTTCAGGTATTCAGCATGGAAAACTGGCATCAATACACTTGGTCAGTTGCATCCCGCTAGACCAAAGGAAACCGTGAGTTGACGAAAAGTTCTGCCCTACAGATATGAGGTTATCTCTCCGTCATCATTATTATTGGTAATGAACACCATCTTCTCTCCTTTGTTCAACAATGTTTCGTACTACCTTGATTGATCTGTATGCAACCGATCCTTATGGAATCCTGCCAGATAAAATCGTAGTTCAGCATCTACTGAGTCTTTCACCACGTTCAGCGAAAAATTTGATGAAAACGTTTGCGGATACAGATTGTAGCGTGATCTTTTTTGGTATGTTGATGAGGTGTCCTTCTTTCCAGTCTGTCGACACTTGTTCTTCCTCTCAAATCTTCCTGAATACAGTGTGAAGCATGTCTGCAGTTACTTCTGCTTGACTGCAGTGCTTCAGCCGGTATGTTGTCAGGTCCTACGGTTTTCTCACTCCAGAGTTGTCTGAAGGCCACCTTGGTTTCTTCGATCGTCGGTGGGGCGCATCATACAGAGAGGTGTGTTTGTGTGCTACTTCGACGTTCAGCGGGTTTGTAGTGGCGTTGGACCATAACCACACAATCCTCAAAGGTGAACACGAGACTACTGGGAAAATAGATATTCAGTATTTAACGCGGAGAAATACCTAACGATGGAAAAGGTGGGAACATTCGGTTGAATTAATTGGAGTTGATCGGATGGCATGGCTCGGCCATGCAATCATGGTACCTGAGGAATGTTACCCTATATCTTTTATTCATATTAAATATATTACTCCTTCTCTAGCCTAAGATTGTTCTCCATAATGTATTGGTAATTGCTGTGATACAGTGAGTTGATGTAGACGATGATGTGACTTCCACGTAAGATCTTATAGATTAGTTATATCACGACAAGTCTACAATTTTAGGATAAATTCTATTATTGGAGCAGTACTAATATCATGGTAGACCATAATTCTACAGATTCAATGTAGCTGGCCTATTCAAGAATTCCTCAAAGTGTCCTGTCCATGCTTTCCTTTGTTCATGAATCTCAGTGGTTGATTTGCTCTCTTAGTTCATGATTATTTGCTCTGTTGTATTATAATTCTCTGTCAATTTCTTCTTGTCTCATTTGGTTATCTCATATTTCCGTTTCTTGAAACGTCTTCCAATGTGATTATCGAACCTGCTACCTATTCCTGCTTTTCAGATCTAACGCTTAACTTTACTCTCTTGTTTGCTTATGTGTATTCGGCCTGTGCTCTGACTTTTTCAGTTCTTGTCCCACTGTTTATAATTGCCGTCTTTTTTCCCCTTTTCCTGAATCCTGCATGCGTTTTTGACTGCTACCCATCTTCAATGATAGCACTTTCATTTCTTTCTTTGGCAGGAACTGCTATTATGTGTGAAACAACGGAAGCTTCCCAAAAACTAATCTTTTCCGTCCAACTAGGGTCTAGCGGATTTCACTTATTCCGAGAACCATCAAGTTTTATCTCCCCATTTCCCTAGTCATTTGACCTGTCCTCCCAATTTCCGACATTCTCTGGACATTCCATGTACATGTAATAGTTGTTGCTCTGGTTTGCAGATGGCGGCATCGGCATCGTGATTCGCGAACAACCTCGGATTTCGCCATAAGGTGTCATAATTCTCCCTTCAACTCGGAGGACGAAGTTCAAATTGTTTATTCTGGTTAACGTTGTTTTAGCAAGACTTTATTCTAAGATATGGGGTTGCTGACGTCATGCCAAACCCTGCTCCTTTGTCTAGGCTTGGGACCGACAGTTACCCTTGAAGAGCTACAGAAGGAGTTTCCTCACCTGAGCGGACAATATGAAACTGTTGAAGGCTATAAGCCATTGACTGATTCATAAGAATCCCGATAAGACACAGTTTAACGAGACGAGTGGAGACAAAACTGATATACATTCAATGTAAAGAAGAGTCAGGCGATGCAACTTCGAGATAGAGGGCTGCACCAGGCCGACTTCCACCATAGTCACCGCCTTTGAAACTTCGTCGATAAGTGATACAAAGTCGTTGATAACAGAAAGCTTGAATACTGGCAACAACCATCATGGGAATCCACTTGAGATTGAACGCGTTTAGAAACACGAGAATAAAAGATCATTTAATAGAATAGCACTGTATACTAGGTAGTACAGGTATAGAATCTTTTGTCACAGATTTTTTGTGACAAAACAAAAATAAGAGGGTTTTCGAGAATATATCCGTTCGTTCATCTGGTTATTAAATGCGGTTTAGATTAACCATATCCCTCAGTGAATTACGTTGTTCGGAAAATCCGAACATAATATGATGAATAAAATTAACGCGGTCATTGAGTGCCAGAGTTTAAGAGATCATGTTTAAAAAAGAGTATATTATGTGTTTTTCCTAACTCTGTAACCGTCAAACATGAATATCCACTACTTAAATCATGAAAGTCATGGATTTATTGTATACATGTTGGATCGTTTACATCCGGCACAAAATTTTAAGTATTAAATGATCATTTATGGACCGAATAACTTTATTTCTCAGTGATCGGTTCTTTATGGACAGAGAATACTTTACCTTTCATCGGACTAAGAAATGTCCTAGTGAGGTTTCCTGTGGTTCCGTACCATGACCTCATTTTTGATCGAAATGGATGATCTTCTACAGCAAGTATAATCCAATTTATTACACTTCGCTGGTGATTTTAAACTACGAGGAGAATTTACCAAGCAAAATTATAAGCTAGTACTTCAGAAGGATCTGATTCGACTTCAAAGCTTGCCGCAAAATAACTTAATTGCAATCAAAACTTCACAGTGTAGAGGAGTTCATCAGAGACGTGTTGCACACCGTGCATACATCGTAGGTAACTCCCCTCTAGATGTGTTTAAAGTTAAAGAAGATCTAGGAGTATTGGTATCCTACGATATCAAGTCTTAAGCTAACTGTGACAAAGGTGCCGCTCATTTTCTGTCAGTTTAGCAGTACAAAGTTTTACCTAGGTTCAACGGTTTTATTTGACTTTACTCAGAGTACGAATATATAGTGTTAGTTCCTCTCCCCAAAAGGACTAAAGTATACCAGAACGTATTCAAAGGTGAGCCGTGAAATCGGGTCGGGAACTCAAGGTTAAACCTTGTGATAGCACTCATAGACACTTTTTTAAATACTTACTTAGGCTCAGTTTAAACACGAATCTCAGGGTTAGCATCAAAAAGCTGGAAGCACAATATAGCGGCACAGACTATATGCACATCTTTTACATTTTACTAGTCAGATTCTGGAATTCGCTGACGTCTGATGTGATCCGAGTGAATTCCCAGAAGTCCTTTGATAAGAAGCTTAACGTATTCTAACAGACTTCAAACAGTGATTAACTACAACTTCCCTCTAAATATACCCCGACCTTTCACTTGAGGGCATCAGCAGTCATAGAAGCCCGTAAAGTGAAAGCTTCTATTCCATCCACAAACATTACATCCACTGTAATTTTATCTACCTTATCGAGCGATCAGCGCCCTATATTGATAAATTCTTAGTAACACCAACTCATCACATTACCACAGTTCACGGGGATTATCAGGTCGTTTGACATTTATATTTATAAACCATGTGTCCTGTGACTAGACTGTCACTGGACATTACTGTGTAATTAGAACCCTACCGAAGCAACAAAAATCGAGCGCAAAGATCAATCGGTTTTTGAGGCTTATGACAAAGAGTAGCAGATATATTGGAAATTGTAGTCTGAAGCGCTGTTTTCCAGTAGTGCGTAACTGAGCTGTAAGTGCTTCCTTGACGTAAGTTTCTTGGTATAGTATGTTTCTGTGTATTCTCAAATGAATTGCTCATGCGCTTAAGAAAGCTAGCATTTTGCTTAGTTTCACACAATCAGAGTACAGTAGTTTATCTATCAGATATATTTAAACAGCCTGACCGAGCGCTATTTAAAAAGGACAGTGGTATTCTTTCTCGTTGAGTTAATTAACTGTTTTGATCGTAAATTACGCATCAAAACTACTGTTTACACTTTAATTGCATCTACCCCAGTTAAAGTGATATTTTATTGAGTTTTTCGATTTTGCTTTTCTGTATTTATTGCATCGAAGCATACTTGGTCGACTTTTACTTGGTTTATTTAGTTAAGGTTTGGAAATCCTTCTACATATCCTGTTTTCGTCACCGTTCTAGTTGATTTTCAAGATGGCTAGGTCTACTCATAAATGTGGACAATCATACTGCTTATTTCCCGTGGATGAAGGGATGCAATGTGATGAGTGTAATAAGTGGTTTCATATGATGTGCACCCGATTAAGCCCCACTGCATATAAAAGGTGTTCAAAGCCCAACTCTCATTGGCTTTGTAGTTTTTGTTGCTCGAGCAAAACATTGCTTATCCAGGAAGCAATTAGTCTCCTGGTGTTGGCTAATAAGAAGGTTGATGAGGGCTGTACTGATAACATTGGTACGGATGGCGAAGATTGCGTTAGTATCGTAAATGCCGTCAGACATCTACCTGTGCAACCCACAGTTAAACGTTCTCCCTCGAAACGATCAGTGAGTGACACGTCATTAGACGTTGGTGGCCATATTGCTACAGCAGCAACCGGTGACCCAGATAAAACAATTACTGTCCCGAGTTGTTCTAATGTAGACGTTTCGACTGATGGAAAATGGATGACTCGAAAACGCAGAAGAGTAGGAAAGATAGCTAAAACTAATGACTGTTTACTTGATAAGTCCTTGGTGGACTCTCAGACCAATCCGCCAAAGTCCCATAGTAAAGCTTCGTCTGACATTGTTGTGAGTCACTCGCTTGACTCCCAGGACTCTGTTAAAATAAAAACTAATCGTAAGATACCAGTAGTTAAAATACAGGATCTAACGTCACGGTCGAAAGCTGTGAACACAGTTTCAAAAGAAGCTAAACCCATCCCTAGTTTAATTATTTGGAATCTAGAGGAGTCGAAAGACAACGATCCAGTTAAAAGACACGCACACGACCTACAGTTAGTGGAGTCTGTGGTCAGGAATGTACTACCTGAAGAGGTTTCAGGGGTACATATTACAAAAGTAATACGACTTGGTAAATGGGTTAGAGGCGAGACCCAACCAAGAAGGATCCTGATGCTGGTTCTCGGGAGTTTCGAAGAAAGAGACATATTATTGAAAAGCGCACAAAAAACTCGTGCCTCAAATATCCGTATTCGACCAGATTGGCCGCTTGAGGATCGAATCAAGTGGAAGAATGCTCTTACGGAGTTGAGGACCCGCAAATTAAATGGCGAAAATAACCTTACCATTAAGGGTTTTCGGGTAGTCAGTTCTTGGAAGCCAATTCTCCCGAGGCCTGTATGGGTAGAACGATTGATTGCCAAAATACATTAAGTGTGTGCTACACGAACACTCGTAGTCTTAGAAATAAAACGTCCGAGCTAAGTCTGATGGTGCAAGAATTATGTCCCGATATAATCGTTGTTACAGAAACTTGGTTCACCGTTGATATAGACTGTTCTCCTTTCATTGCTGGTTATATCTGTATCAGAAGTGATAGAGTTTCGAGTCGCAAGGGGGGAGGTATAATATTATACGTTAGGGATCACTTTCGTATACAATCAACCATATCGGAGGCTCATATCAGTGGCACATGTGAGGTTGCATGTTGTAAGATTAAATCTAGAAATGGGTTAATGATTATAGGGGGAATATACTGTAGTCCGTCATGTCTGGCTGACGACTTTATCCTAAGACACATCTGTTCTTGGAGTATGGCAGAATGTTGTCTCATCATTGGGGACTTCAACGCACCGCATATCAACTGGATAGAGCTTACAGCTCCAGGTAGCGGTTTCGATAGTGACCTTTTATCTACCGTTATTCAGTGTGCACTTGTACAATGTATCACAAAACCGACACATATTGATTTGCATCATGTTCTGTCACTGCTGGACCTCGCCCTCACCCACCACTCTGAGGATGTCTTTGATATCCAGCACCTTCCTCCACTAGTGAACAGTGATCACGTTGTAATTCACTTTAAGTTTAGGACACATGGTATACAATTCGTATCTGCTCCACCCCGTCCCAATATCTGGCGAGCTAATATTCCGGAAATCAGAAACCGTGCTATCTCGACTGATTGGTCGGTCGACGCGGATGGATTGATCGAAGATGAATGGAATAAGTTTAAGGCTACATTCGAGTCCGTAACGTCGCCGTTTATCCCATGGTCAGCACGTAAGCTATCACATTGCCCTCCATGGATTAGTAAGGAAACCCGGAAGCTGTTAAAGCGTAGGAAACATTTCTGGGACTTATTCTTGCTGACAGGTCATGCACCATTTAAGCGTGAGTACCGAAAATTCCGTAGTATCTGTAAGAGAACCATAGCGAAATCCCGTACCACTTACGAACGACAGTTAGTATATGATAGCCATACTTGTCCAAAACGATTGTTTTCGTATGTTAAACGGCAAATGAAACGTAGTGATGGTATTCCCCCGTTACTGTTACACGAAAATTCAGATTTACTAGCTGAATCAGATCAAGCAAAAGCTGAGACTTTTTCAGATTATTTTAGCGAAGTCTTCTCTACGTTTATTGTAACAAATACTTGTCCCATTCACACCGAGATACCAACCATTGAATCTGTACAGGTGACTGAGGAAACTGTCCTTCCGTTGATAACTAACCTCAAAGGTGGTAAGATACCGGGCCCCGACGGGTTACATCCACGGTTGCTGTCATCTCTTGCGGACATTATTTCAAAACCGCTCGCGACACTCTTCAACATGTCCCTTTCACTCGCTCAACTCCCTAGAGATTGGAAGGACGCTATAGTTAGTCCTATATTTAAGGACGGTCAGCGACAGATAGTATCTAACTACCGGCCTGTCAGTCTAACTAGCATAGTCGTTAAGTTACTCGAAAAGATAATTCGGGTTAGGTTGCTAAGCCACATAGATTTACACAATCTGTTAGCTCCTGAGCAACACGGATTTCGTAACAAGCGTTCATGCTTGACTAACTTGCTTATTGCGAGGGAGGATTGGACAGCAGCCCTAGATAACGGTCTGTCTGTCGTCGTGATATTCATAGATTTTAGCAAAGCGTTTGACAAGGTTTCACACGTAGGTCTTATGCAGAAGCTCACGAGCTTCGGAATATTAGGTACTGTACATGAGTGGATAGGAAACTTCTTATGTGATCGCAGACAGAGAGTGAGGGTCAATGGAACGCTATCCGATTGGGAGCCGGTCAAAAGTGGTGTACCCCAAGGCACCATCTTAGGCCCTCTGCTCTTCCTTCTCTAAGTTAATGAGTTACCACTGTTACTTAGGTCGTCGACATTATTGTTTGCGGATGATGTAAAAATCTGGAGAACAATAAAAAGTGCGGCTGATCATCTAGATCTTCAAGCTGACTTAGACGATTTAGTTATATGGGCTCGAGAGTGGGGCTTAGAAATCAATGCTAGGAAGAGTGTGCTAATGCACGTCGGTCACGGTAATAGTTACCGTTACACTATTGAGGGTAAACCTCTTCCATGCGTTCAAGAGCATAAGGACTTAGGAGTAATATTAAGTCATGATTTAAAAACAACTGCACATTGCAAAGCAGCCGCTGTCAAAGGTTTTCGTGCGTTATGGTCACTTCGCCGAGCGTTCAAATCTCTTGACGAGGAAACGTTTCGAATTTTATATCCCATATATGTAAGACCACATTTAGAGTACTGTATCCAAGCAGCTAGCCCGTGCCTGATAAAGGATACTAACTCCCTTGAGCGTGTCCAGCGTGTGGGAACGAAATTAGTGAAGGGTCTTTCTAGACTCCCTTACGATGAGCGCTTAAAACGCCTAAATCTTTTCCCCTTGTCGTATCGTAGGACACGAGGTGATCTTATACTGGCATTTCGTATCTTTAATTATGATTTGGGTGTTAATATGTCTTATCTTTTTTCCCTCTCCAGCACTAATAATCTCCGAGGTCATAGCAAGAAGGTTCATAAACCACGATCTAATAAACTTAAAGTGGGATCCCGTTTTTCTCATCGAGTAGTCAATGATTGGAACGCCTTGTCCGAACAAGTGGTATCAGCCCCATCAGTGAATACTTTCAAGGAAAAGCTGGACCTTCACTGGAAAGCAATGTGTCAGGATTAACACAGGTTCATCAACCTACTATCCTTATTACTGAAGACTGAAGACTGATCAACCTCAGAATTTTTTACAAGTTCATATTCTCTTTTGAAGGTTGCAGTATTCACCAATATAATTTACTTCGGGCGTTGAGATTGTAACGTTAAGTTCTGATTCACTTCGGTTGGTAATGGTGGAAATTTATCACTACATGATCTGCTTACGTAAGTAATAATGAAATGTGGAGTTGTGTACACTTTCAAGGAATATGTTTCCAATGTTTTTTTTTCGAGTTAATTCATTAGCTTTAGTCACCGCTATACCCACTTATGTTGTGGTGGTTCCTATTTATCCTTCTTGACTGGGATCACATGCTTAACGCTTCATACTACTAAATTGAACACTTTGGATGTTCTAATAACGAGTAGGATTACGAATGAAATTTATTCAGAATTGACACAACATTCTAGGGACACCTGTTCTGGGGACTTATATAACCATTCTGGTTAGGACTCTAATTTATGGACGAGCCAATCAGAAGCGTTTAAGGAATTTCAAGGTCACGGCGGTAAGTTCAGTGTAAGATCTTTAGTCTTTAGTCTTCAGTAATAAGGATAGTAGGTTGATGAACCTGTAATAATCCTGACATATTGCTTTCCAGTGAAGGTCCAACTTTTCCTTGAAAGTATTCACTGATGGGGCTGATACCACTTGTTCGGACAAGGCGTTCCAATCATTGACTACTCGATGAGAAAAACGGGATCCCACTTTAAGTTTATTAGATCGTGGTTTATGAACCTTCTTGCTATGACCTCGGAGATTATTAGTGCTGGAGAGGGAAAAAAGATAAGACATATTAACACCCAAATCATAATTAAAGATACGAAATGCCAGTATAAGATCACCTCGTGTCCTACGATACGACAAGGGGAAAAGATTTAGGCGTTTTAAGCGCTCATCGTAAGGGAGTCTAGAAAGACCCTTCACTAATTTCGTTCCCACACGCTGGACACGCTCAAGGGAGTTAGTATCCTTTATCAGGCACGGGCTAGCTGCTTGGATACAGTACTCTAAATGTGGTCTTACATATATGGGATATAAAATTCGAAACGTTTCCTCGTCAAGAGATTTGAACGCTCGGCGAAGTGACCATAACGCACGAAAACCTTTGACAGCGGCTGCTTTGCAATGTGCAGTTGTTTTTAAATCATGACTTAATATTACTCCTAAGTCCTTATGCTCTTGAACGCATGGAAGAGGTTTACCCTCAATAGTGTAACGGTAACTATTACCGTGACCGACGTGCATTAGCACACTCTTCCTAGCATTGATTTCTAAGCCCCACTCTCGAGCCCATATAACTAAATCGTCTAAGTCAGCTTGAAGATCTAGATGATCAGCCGCACTTTTTATTGTTCTCCAGATTTTTACATCATCCGCAAACAATAATGTCGACGACCTAAGTAACAGTGGTAACTCATTAACTTAGAGAAGGAAGAGCAGAGGGCCTAAGATGGTGCCTTGGGGTACACCACTTTTGACCGGCTCCCAATCGGATAGCGTTCCATTGACCCTCACTCTCTGTCTGCGATCACATAAGAAGTTTCCTATCCACTCATGTACAGTACCTAATATTCCGAAGCTCGTGAGCTTCTGCATAAGACCTACGTGTGAAACCTTGTCAAACGCTTTGCTAAAATCTATGAATATCACGACGACAGACAGACCGTTATCTAGGGCTGCTGTCCAATCCTCCCTCGCAATAAGCAAGTTAGTCAAGCATGAACGCTTGTTACGAAATCCGTGTTGCTCAGGAGCTAACAGATTGTGTAAATCTATGTGGCTTAGCAACCTAACCCGAATTATCTTTTCGAGTAACTTAACGACTATGCTAGTTAGACTGACAGGCCGGTAGTTAGATACTATCTGTCGCTGACCGTCCTTAAATATAGGACTAACTATAGCGTCCTTCCAATCTCTAGGGAGTTGAGCGAGTGAAAGGGACATGTTGAAGAGTGTCGCGAGCGGTTTTGAAATAATGTCCGCAAGAGATGACAGCAACCGTGGATGTAACCCGTCGGGGCCCGGTATCTTACCACCTTTGAGGTTAGTTATCAACGGAAGGACAGTTTCCTCAGTCACCTGTACAGATTCAATGGTTGGTATCTCGGTGTGAATGGGACAAGTATTTGTTACAATAAACGTAGAGAAGACTTCGCTAAAATAATCTGAAAAAGTCTCAGCTTTTGCTTGATCTGATTCAGCTAGTAAATCTGAATTTTCGTGTAACAGTAACGGGGGAATACCATCACTACGTTTCATTTGCCGTTTAACATACGAAAACAATCGTTTTGGACAAGTATGGCTATCATATACTAACTGTCGTTCGTAAGTGGTACGGGATTTCGCTATGGTTCTCTTACAGATACTACGGAATTTTCGGTACTCACGCTTAAATGGTGCATGACCTGTCAGCAAGAATAAGTCCCAGAAATGTTTCCTACGCTTTAACAGCTTCCGGGTTTCCTTATTAATCCATGGAGGGCAATGTGATAGCTTACGTGCTGACCATGGGATAAACGGCGACGTTACGGACTCGAATGTAGCCTTAAACTTATTCCATTCATCTTCGATCAATCCATCCGCGTCGACCGACCAATCAGTCGAGATAGCACGGTTTCTGATTTCCGGAATATTAGCTCGCCAGATATTGGGACGGGGTGGAGCAGATACGAATTGTATACCATGTGTCCTAAACTTAAAGTGAATTACAACGTGATCACTGTTCACTAGTGGAGGAAGGTGCTGGATATCAAAGACATCCTCAGAGTGGTGGGTGAGGGCGAGGTCCAGCAGTGACAGAACATGATGCAAATCAATATGTGTCGGTTTTGTGATACATTGTACAAGTGCACACTGAATAACGGTAGATAAAAGGTCACTATCGAAACCGCTACCTGGAGCTGTAAGCTCTATCCAGTTGATATGCGGTGCGTTGAAGTCCCCAATGATGAGACAACATTCTGCCATACTCCAAGAACAGATGTGTCTTAGGATAAAGTCGTCAGCCAGACATGACGGACTACAGTATATTCCCCCTATAATCATTAACCCATTTCTAGATTTAATCTTACAACATGCAACCTCACATGTGCCACTGATATGAGCCTCCGATATGGTTGATTGTATACGAAAGTGATCCCTAACGTATAATATTATACCTCCCCCCTTGCGACTCGAAACTCTATCACTTCTGATACAGATATAACCAGCAATGAAAGGAGAACAGTCTATATCAACGGTGAACCAAGTTTCTGTAACAACGATTATATCGGGACATAATTCTTGCACCACCAGACTTAGCTCGGACGTTTTATTTCTAAGACTACGAGCGTTCGTGTAGCACACACTTAAGGTGTTTTGGCAATCCATCGTTCTACCCATACAGGCCTCGGGAGAATTGGCTTCCAAGAACTGACTACCCGAAAACCCTTAATGGTAAGGTTATTTTCGCCATTTAATTTGCGGGTCCTCAACTCCGTAAGAGCATTCTTCCACTTGATTCGATCCTCAAGCGGCCAATCTGGTCGAATACGGATATTTGAGGCACGAGTTTTTTGTGCGCTTTTCAATAATATGTCTCTTTCTTCGAAACTCCCGAGAACCAGCATCAGGATCCTTCTTGGTTGGGTCTCGCCTCTAACCCATTTACCAAGTCGTATTACTTTTGTAATATGTACCCCTGAAACCTCTTCAGGTAGTACATTTCTTACCACAGACTCCACTAACTGCAGGTCATTTGCATGTCTTTTAACAGGGTCGTTGTCTTTCGACTCCTCTAGATTCCAAATAATTAAACTAGGGATGGGTTTAGCTTCTTTTGAAACTGTGTTCACAGCTTTCGACCGTGACGTTAGATCCTGTATTTTAACTACTGGTATCTTACGATTAGTTTTTATTTTAACAGAGTCCTGGGAGTCAAGCGAGTGACTCACAACAATGTCAGACGAAGCTTTACTATGGGACTTTGGCGGATTGGTCTGAGAGTCCACCAAGGACTTATCAAGTAAACAGTCATTAGTTTTAGCTATCTTTCCTACTCTTCTGCGTTTTCGAGTCATCCATTTTCCATCAGTCGAAACGTCTACATTAGAACAACTCGGGACAGTAATTGTTTTATCTGGGTCACCGGTTGCTGCTGTAGCAATATGGCCACCAACGTCTAATGACGTGTCACTCACTGATCGTTTCGAGGGAGAACGTTTAACTGTGGGTTGCACAGGTAGATGTCTGACGGCATTTACGATACTAACGCAATCTTCGCCATCCGTACCAATGTTATCAGTACGGCCCTTATCAACCTTCTTATTAGCCAACACCAGGAGACTAATTGCTTCCTGGATGAGTAATGTTTTGCTCGAGCATTAAAAACTACAAAGCCAATGAGAGTTGGGCTTAGAGCACCTTTTATATGCAGTGGGGTTTAATCGGGTGCACATCTTGTGGAACCACTTATTACACTCATCACATTGCATCCCTTCATCCACGGGAAATAAGCAACATGGTTGTCCACAGTTATGAGCAGAGCTAGCCATCTCGAAAATTAACTACAACGGTGACACAAACAGGATATGTAAAAGAATTCTCAAACCTTAACTAAATAAACCAAGTAAAAGTCGACCAAGTATGCTTCGATGCAATAAATACAGAAAAGCAAACTCGAAACACTCAATACAATATCACTTTAACTGGAATAGATGCAATTAAAGTGTAAACAGTAGTTTTGATGCGTAATTTACGATCAAAACAGTTAATTAACTCAAGGAGAAACAATACCACTGTCCTTTTAAATAGAGCGTGGTTCGGCAGATTGTAGATTTTAACTTTGGTTCATCTGAGTTTTATCAGTTGGGTAGCATCGTCAGCCTCCACACAGACGATGTGACTTTTAACAGTACAAAAACATGTACATTTTATGGATGTTAGCATCAAAGGGCTTATTATTATTAGTTCTAAACTATGCTACTAAGTGTATCTGTATGACAGAATTGATGTATTAGCGGACCATCAGATCCACTTTTATATACTCAAAGTTGAACCACACTCTGCGTGAGGGTTCGAAAACCATCCAGCTGCATTTTCATGCTGATTTGTAAATTTCGTTCTCTGGTCGAAAGTCAAGATACTTGGATGAATATAGTCGAGGAAACTATCTAGATGGATTCCTAGTGACCATTTTCAAACGTCTCTCGATTTTCATGGTTTCAGATATAATTTATTATTTATTTCAACACATAAATATTGGTACGAGAGGGCATCAATTATACATGCGCCACACCATATTTGTGTGTGTGGGCTGTGATACTGCCTGGGTGCCCAGACCGAAGCAGGTGGTTTTCTTAGAGGGCTAAAAATGGAGCCTTTGATCTAAAGGTCTGACCCACAAGGCAGTGGAGCATCGTGAGGAGATGCATTCCCATGGTAGCCGGTGACCAACGATTAGTTTATACGCCATTCGTTCACTCAGGATACTGGAGCCCATGTGCAACATTGTTTTGAGATCTGGTTAAAGCGCCGGACATTCGCTTTTCGTCCTCTCATTTTCGTAAATAACACCCCCGCCACGAGAAGGCAGTGAATAGGACTTCCCTGGCAGAGGCTGTATACGCGTGGCTGTGTGAGAGCATTTCGAGAGGGAGGGCGGGCCCACCCCACTCTAGACCATACCAGGGCATTTGGGGGTAATCTATGAAGTACTCAAGTTGTGACCAAACCTTGAATTACAAGAACATAGTCCACTCTGCTTCGGTCAAGACCTTCGAGTAGTATCTCTAACTCATTCGAAACATGTTTTGGCCATGACGTATTGCGTGTATCCTTCATTAATTACCAAAATGTATTTTTTTTAAAGCAAACAATTCAATATGTCTCATCGCTATTAGCTAGTTATTCACACAGTAATTTTCCCAGTGTCCTTATCCCAGCCTTTTCTAAAAATATATCTTTTTTTGATTTCTCTACAGGTACATAAAGTTCTAAATGAACAACCAGTCCTCAAAACTTCATTTCTGCTTTAAAGTAGTGTTGGGTTTTCAGTGAGAGGTTATGTTGCATGAGTTATTTTTGACCAAATTGAACACTCCATGATTTAATCTCATTTGTCAATGCCTATTTTCAACCCTAAAACAGTTACAAATTTCCTGACTTATGAAAAAGAGGAAAAAGTGGGCTTTCTATGGAAAAAGCGTTCAGAACAGAAAAAATCTTACAAAAAACGTTACTTTATATTGTGTGGTAATATTTTAGCGTATTTTGATAAGAAATTGGATAAGGAACCATTGGGTATTATATTTTTGGATTGTCATATTGTTGAAATGTTGGATGATTTGAAAATGGCAATACGATTCAGAGGACCCGGCGAGTTATCTCGCAGTTATATTTTAAAGGGTGAAACAGCTGAGGATATTGAAGTGAGTTTCTTTCGAAGGAAGCCATTTTTTGTATGCCTTCGTTACCCAGGTTCCCTTATATGACCTTTGCGTTTTCTGGGTCAAACGGGAGAAAGGAAATAAAGTAAATCTTATTAACATTAAATATGCAGCCTTTGTTATTAACTTATCACTTCATAACATATCCGATACACGCAAGTTCTGATAAATATTCATTTCTGTCCTGTCTTGAAAATAGAATATATGCCACTTACTTGTTGGTATTTCATCTGGTTATTCTACTTATCGAGTTTCTCTTGCAATCATTGGGGTTGTTTTTTCATTACATATTTATCTACTGTTTTTTCTAACCACAACTTCAGTCAGTCAGTCAGTCAGCTATAACGTAGGACCAGGTACATATGTACATTGGTTGAAGTTGCCATGCCTCATTAACACAACAAGATGAACATCGGATTCATAAAAGTAGTTAATTCAGAGGTGGTAATATCTAAAAGAAAGATTGCAATAAGGATATAATACAGGAAGAAAAAATTAGTTTGTAGAAGGAAAGATATGAAGCAATTTTAATCTCTTAATTTAAGGGAAGATAGAGAGTGTATACACCGACGCCATTGTGATCGATTCTTAGCCATGTCACCAAGAGTCTCCAACCACAACTTCAACATTTTATCCATTTTTCGAGATAATGTGTCTGGACTCCGATATTAGAAAACGACATATCATGTATTCCTCCTCTCTCCTTGGCGTTAAATTTTTAACTATTTAAGTCACTACTAATTTTTCGTAAGACTAAAATATTTTCAAACTTAATGAGTATTCCGTTTTGTCCAATTCTTAATACCAATCGAACTCAATCGGTCCGTTAAGTTTGTCATTTACCTCCAACCATTTAACGTCAACACAATTTGCATTACGATGTTGAGTCACATTCTATTTTGTTACAAAGTCTGTAAATATAACCTGATCAGCAACTAGCATTAAACACCTTTATATTGGTTATTTCTCAGTTATTCACTAGCGTATATTTCAACCCTTGTTCAAAATACCTCAAATTTCGATTAAGTTAACAAAGTTTTCAAAATGTACTTATTTCTTCATTCCTTCAACGTTTATAAAATTTCACCTTAAATGAGTGGTTTAATCAGTGTGTTGTAAAATATGCGAACTTTGGAAGTTCATTGTTGTCATTATTCACCGAATTTAATGAAATAGTTCACCAAAGATAATATTGGTCGGGTGTATTTACTTGAGGTTATGGGAATAATTCATCTTCACAGTAGAGCAATCAAATATGATGTTACTTAAGTATATGGTCAACAAACATCAACTATTAATGGTAAACGAGTTTACAATACCGATCTAACTTGGTCCAGTAAATATGTTCACCAACACATTCAAGTAGTATAAAATGTTTAGATTTCTTCTCTGTAGAATTTACTTTTAAATAACACGTAGCTCTATATCGGTTACCTATCAACTTCGTTTTCGTGCAAATTGACTCCATTTTTACATTCTATTGCTTGATTAATGCTGAAAACTAGAGCACATATTCTGTCGCTAATTATTGAGTAATCGTTAAGATCTAATAACGTTTCAGCTTCATAAATTCGGGTATACTAAACAGGGTAATGAAGACCGACCGTTTACAAAAGCTTTTATTTTCTGCAGAAAAGGCTAATATTATTAAATAACACGCCTGTTTATATGGTTACTTAAGAAGCTTGGAAACTAGGACGAAAACTAGGTAATTAACATGTGAGTTTAATTCATTTGTATTGGTCGTCTGAATCTTCTCGTTGATATTTAGGATTACAATTGTCCAGTCACTTTCGGCATATGTGCATCCTGTGCGGATTGTCCATACATTGCCATTAAGTCACTAGTAATATAAGCAGAGATGAATGGCGGCTAGTAGTAAAATCTAGAACGCGCGTTTCATCTTATATGGGATTTGTCAGCTGAATATGCTTTTATCTAAGAGACTGATCCATTACAGTACTCAATATCAATCGAAAGATTTAAAACAACTAATACAAATGAATTAGACTTCACCCCCCTTCACAAGCTATTGGCTATCTGTACTTAATAGCTAAGTGAAAGACGCGATTATGTTTGAAGCGATCAGTACTGGATTTGAGCCCCTGAGTGAATATCAACTCTGGAATGTAGGTAAATTCAGGTAATAAGCCCCAACTACGACTAAACGCGAGTTTTGGATTCCACTGCTAGTCACTATCTACCTCTGTTTATAACATGGGAAGTTAAGTGTGAGGTGATTGTAAGGTTTACAGTTTCTGTATCCACAGTGGATTTAAAGCACTAGAATATATGAATTTAACTAATGAAACTAAGAAATCGTTATTCATGGTATATTCTTCAAAATAAGCTCACTAATGTTAGTTCACATTCGGTAGTTGTGTGCAAACAAGTAGTCATTATCTCAATTTTTCTGTGTTGATTTACTTAAGTTTGCTTTATTTCAATATGTTTTTTTTATTTTGCACACTTTATACTTTTCCAAGGATTGGATGCGTGCTATCAGTAGATGTAGTATTGAATTTATTACTTTAACTCTTGAAGATTTAGAGGATCACTACAAAGCACTGACTACAGTAAAACAAACAAATACAGATCAGAAATCATCACCATCTACATTAATTGGAAATAATAATAATAATTCAACTGTTTCAGCTGTTAAGTCCTCAATATTTTCTAGACGTTCGAATCCGTTTAATAAAAGTAATAGTGTTACTGGCACTAGTTACGATATCGATCCTACTGGGTTCAATAGTCAATCACGCAAATTGTGTCCATCCAGTAGTTCCAATGGTTTATTAAATCAAACCACATCGTCCTCTATAAATCATACTCAATGGTTATTAACACAGAATTGGGAACAATTAAATTCTCGTTTAAAAGCTCAATTCATGATATTTGACAACAAAACTGACACATGAACAAATTAATTACCATTAAATTTCATTTCTGTTTTATATAATTTGTATAGTTTTGTTAGTAGACTTTGGCTCAATGCTCAATGTAAATATAATTTTTATTTACTTTGAATTAGTACTATTATTATCTATTCCAAATCTTTGACTAACGTTTTAGTATCAGACTACTTAATTTAATGGTTTCAGCTACGTAACTTCAATTCATAAACCATTTCTCAGTTTAAGTATTTGTGTTGAATAAATGCTAGAATTATGTTTTTTTCCACTTTTTGTGCATAAAAATAGTGTACCATTGCAAAACTGAAGCTCATTATTATCTAGCTTTGTTTTTTTATTCATACTTATTACTGTACATCCAAGTATATTTGAATGCTCAATTATTTCGGTTAACTAATAAAAGGTTGTTATATGTGGTTCATTCAAACATAAATGGCAAAATAACTCTACTTATTAGTTTGTTTTCACGCTTTTATAGATAGTAACACGTTTAATAATTACGTATTAACAGTTAAACTTGGTGACTGATTGTCAGAAAGATAGTCTACAAAATAAAAGGATTATGTGTTCTTTTTTTCGCAGTCAGTTTCAATCGATTTCTGACAACTAATTGATTTAAGGTTGTAACAGATCTTGGGGCGTAGATGAAATGTCCTCCTGATAGCATAGGGTCGAGTACACCAAAAAAACCAACTCGTTCTGCTCTACTTTAAGGTTTTTAAACATAGTCTTTAAATGTACGGAATATTCGCAGGTTACCATTATTTGACTATAGATAAATTCAAAGTATTGCTTGCATATGTTGAAATTATCGAGTGAGCAATACTGAGGTTTAGGCGCAGGGTATTATGTCAAGATTACAAATCGGCTGATGAAATAGTGATTCGTCTTTGACTGGGGTAGTTAAGGTATGTTTTATTTACACTAACCATCACTTCCTTTACGAACTGTGTTGGCTGATGTGGAATAGTAGATTAGAGGAACACTGGAAGCAACCAAACCAAAACGTAGCATCAGTCCACGAAATTATTGACTGTTGAACTAGCTTTGTAGTTGGGTACAGACTATTTGGTTGAGGTCCATGCGATCACTACAATCAATTGTTGGAGAATTTAAGTGACGTGGCTCGGAATCAATCGAAGTGTGTCATATGCGTACACTCTTTGTCCTCTTTTGGATTTAAAGTGTTAAGACTTATGCTTTTTTATTTCACAAGTTCATATTATGCCTTTTCAAATTTTATCTTCTTATCCCATATTTTCTATCACTACTAATACTGGTATTGTTAATACTTCTACTAATCTGGATCTATTTTGATAAATTCATCTCGCTATGCAGATATTGTTTAGGAACTTCAACCAATACACACGTGTACCAAATTCCCTTTTAGCTTTGACTGATTGATTTATATAGTCGATCTCAACATCCTCTCCATCAGATGATCGTTTTTAATGATAATTATCTATTCTATATCAGTGTTGCTTGACACCATCTGTACCACGTTTTGCTGGTGCGTTCATGCACTTTGCTAATAATTCACCACTCTAACCTACCTCACTAACTAGAATCAAAACACCAGTTTTGCGGTTGAAACTTTTTGAAGCTGATCAGTTGAAAAACAACTAAATTATATTAAGCTTATTGATTTAGTCAGTCAGTCAGCTACAACGTATGACCAGGCACATATATTCATCGGTCCGAGTTGCCATACCTCATCAGCATAACAGGATGAACACCAAATTCGTAGAAGTAGTTACTTCAATGGTAGTACCATATATACGAAATATTGTACATAAAGATGTAGTAAAGGAAGAAATAATTAGTTCATGGAAAAAAAGTATAGAGCAATTTTAATTCCACGGTTCAAGGGAAGATAAAGAGTGCATACATCGACGCCATTGTGATCGATTCTGAGCCATGTCACCCAGAGTCTCCAACCATTGGTTACGTTAGTCACGCGGACCCTAACCATGTAGTCTGCATCTACCAACATGGCTAATAATAGAAGTTAGTGACTTCAAGCACTGATGCCACGTTTTTGCTTGGTCGTCCCTAACTTTCTTCCAACCATTCTCTACACTAGTCAGCATTGCACGTCGTGGTAATCGGTGTTCAGGCATACGTAACACGTGGCCCAACCATCTCAGTCGACGAAGATTCACAACCTCATCTACTGATTCACCATCGTTCCCCAATACTCTGCGTCTGACCTCACTATTACTTACCCAGTGATCCCAGCAATTGCACGCCATATTTCTAAGACATCTGTGATCAAATACTACTAACTTACGCATGTCTTCTACTCTTAATGTCTACGTTTCTCAGCCGTAAAATAGAACAGATTGAACTGCTGTGCAGTATACTCGCCCCTTAATGGGTAGTTGGATCTCTTACCTTCGCCATCGGTGACGTAGGTTGGCAAAACGCAAACGAGCTTTAGGAAATTTATTGATTAATTGCGAGTAAAAAATAATTATATTTAAAGTGTATAGCTGTCATTCATATAGATCGTCGTAAAAACGTATGTAATTTTCAATAATAGTGTTCGCACTAAATAATCTGCTGCAATAGAATTCCAATCTAATAGATATTGACCCACAGCTCATTATTTGTAATTTGCAATCGGACATCTCCATCTCTCATATTAATAGCGTGATTCTCTTTGGTTCACTTGAAACTGAATTATCTTCCACCGTTGTCTGGTCGACCATTTGAGTCGTAGGTCTACTTGTTCTGGAGGTGTCATTTCTGTCTTTCTTTCTAATGTGTCAAACCGGGGTTGCGGTAGACTGGAAGTATCTAGTAGTGTTTTCAGAGTCACGTTGTCGTTGTACTCTCCTATGATACACATCTTCGTAGTTGACTGGAACGTTGTATCCATTTGTCTTTCCAACCGCTACACCATACATTACCTGACCCAACCTCCGGGTTACACACCTCTTTATTCATGTGTTGTACCTCGGTCTTTAATATCGGATGAATACACGAGCTCCGATTTCAAATCCCATCATTTTCACTTTTACCATTCCTTTTTTGCAAACAATCGTTTTTGGTAACACCAGGTGAGTGAGTTGCTCTCAATCTGAAGCTCATGAATGTTTTAGCTGGCGATTTCTGATTTGGTGGTGAATCACTTGGTGTAGTTCTATGCACTAACGAAAAATTGTGGAACATCAGAGAGCGTTCCTTCTCTCATTAATTTTAAGTTTGATCAAATCGTTTTGGTTTTCCATTTGAATGAGGATGTTACGGTAGTGAGCGAATTTATATGATGGGTTGTTGACAGTAAAACTGTTAAGAAAAGTTGGAAGTAAATTGTAATCTATTATTTGACACTGTAGTATCTGTTCATCAGTTGACAGAAAATATCTGACAGTATCTGGATTTTTTTGGTTGTTGCTGTTGGAATTTCATTTACGCACGGTGATTTTTGTACCATTTTTAAATAAAAATTTTGTCATCCTGTTTCGTGCAATTAACTAATTAGCTTTAAAATAATAATAAATGGTTATTTATTTCTGGAAATTGATCTAACAGGTAAATACTTCTCAACTGATCACCTTTTCTCCAACTTATGAATGTAAATAACGTCCGAATTGCAAGCTCTATCGTTTCGAACGTTGTCAGGGATGCGGATAACGTGTTCTTGAGTACGTTGTATCTGGTAGCGTTCCAATTGCTTGAAGAGTTATCAATGGGATCACTGGCAGAATCTCTAGTCATTTTGAGAATGCACCAACGGAACAAAAGATATAATGCCATTTATTAGTCCTGCGATGTCTATGCAGACTGGTAGAAATTAACATATAAGTCACTGATTCTCCAATCAATTAGGACCTGGCTGTTAGACTTAATAGTTGGGCATCGTATATTCTTTGTAGACACTATGGTTCCCATTGAACAAACTCTCATGAGATTTGTTTTCTTGTATTGAACTGATCAAAATGTGAGATTGGGATGATGTGCAGTTGTGTGGGATTACTGTAAATAAGACATTTGATTGTAAAATCCCCAAGTAACAAACGTAAATTCCACAAAACATATTGGTTATTGTTCTCAGATAATCAAATTTAGTTTAGAAAAATTGGACTGAAGTAGTAAAAACTAAATAACTCCGCCTGTAGCTCTTATTGGGTTGCTGCCGGTCCCAAGCCCGGGTAAAGGAGAAGGGTTGGGCATGGGGTTAGCGTCCTCATCCCGTAGAAAACCAACTCGCTAAACAAACGCTTACCAGAAAAAATAATCCAAACCATTTTAACTCTGCCCTGGGAGTTAGAAGGTCTTCATTTAGAAGAATTATGACGCTTCATGGTGAAAGCCGAGTTCCTTAGGAAGCCACGAGGCCGAAGCCCCTTCTAACAACCAGAGCATAATTTTTTATAGGCAAATGGAACGTCCGAACAATGTGGGAGACCGGGAAGACCAGTCAAATAGTAACGGAAATAAGGAGATACAACTTGACAGTACTGGGAATCAGCGAAACCCACTGGACCCACGCTGGACAACAAAGGCTAAATACGGGAGAGATGCTGCTATACTCCGGTCACGAAGAGGGAAATGCTCCACACTTTGAGATATTAACAAAATCAACGAATTCAAGATAGCTCTCAACAACAGGTTCCAAGCCTTACAAGATCTACTGAAGGAAGAAGAAACTACTATGGAGGACAACTGGGAAGGTATCAAAGAAGCATTAACCTCAACGTGTCAAGAGGTTCTCGGTCTAAAGAAATACCATCATAAGGAATGGATCTCTACAGAAACACTGGACAAGATCAAAGAAAGGAAGAACAAGAAGGCAGCAATAAACAACAGCCAAACACGAGCAGAGAAAGTCCAAGCACAAGCTGAATACATAGAAGCGAACAAGCAAGTGAAGAAAAGCATTAGAGCCGACAAGAAGAAGTATGTGGAAGAACTAGCAACGTCGGCGGAAAAAGCTGCTAGAGAAGGAAATATGAAACAGCTTTACGATACAACGAAGAAACTAGCAGGGAAATACAGTAAACCAGAGAGACCGGTCAAGGACAAAGAAGGCAGGCCAATCACTGAAATTCAACAACAGCGTAACAGATGGGTAGAATACTTCGCGGAACTCCTGAATAGGCCGGCTCCAATGAATCCACCGGACATCGAAGCAGCGCACACAGATCTTCCTATAGATGTCAACCCACCAACGACTGAGGAAATCAGAATGGCCGTCAGACAAATCAAGAGCGGGAAAGCACCAGGACCCGACAACATACCAGCTGAAGCGCTGAAATCAGACATCGAAGCAACCACAAGCATGCTTCACCTTCTATTCAAAAAGATTTGGGAGGAGGAACAAGTGCCGATGGACTGGAAAGAAGGACACCTCGTCAAGATTCCAAAGAAAGGAGATCTGAGCAAATGTGAAAACTACAAAGGCATTACACTACTGTCAATACCAGGGAAAGTCTTCAACAGA